ATAGAACTATTCCGAAAAAGCACTAACAATCGAGCTTCCGATGCGCCGAATGATCATGACTAACTTATGTATTTTAGTTTTTATCTATTTTTCATTGCATCGACTAACCATTTTTCAGTTGAATATTTGTTTTCTTTTTTCTTGCGTTTCCATTTTGACAGTTAATTCAAAGCTTATCCCCAAATGTTCGGTTTTCTGAGTCGGTTCGACAGACAAATGCAGCAAGCAGTTGCAATGTTGTTCCGATTTCGGAAATGATAAACACATACATTCCACACGAAAAAAAAACACACGACATACTTTAAAAGTTTTATCGTAGGCATTTTAGCGTTATAAATCCAATTGAATTTTCTAAAAGTGAATTAATCCATCTATCGCTTTGCAATGCGGATGGCTTATATGCCAAAATCCAAACAACAACTTGATAATTTTCTTGAGTTCTTCGTCTTTTGAGTACACTGTGTGTTCGGCTGTAATGTTCAACTGCTGAGAGTGTGCTTTGGGATTAGTATAAATATATATACGTAAAGTTCTTAAGAAAGTATTTGTTTGGAAATCTGGTTGCTGCTTTTGGTTGTTTGCTCTTAAAACTAGATATAAGTATGAGATTTCAGCGCAATAAATGGTACATAAAAATTGTCCTAGATTGCGGTTTTCACTTGAAGATTCCAAAAATTCACTTCAGATAACGCCCCGCCGAAAATACGATACAAATATACGATTGTCAATTTTTTCGACTACGCCGAATCGCGAAATCGATTCCGACACTGTGCGACACAATTGATAGCGTCGACAGTGCGGAAACATATGTGCATTCATCATTATCCCCTTCTTTAATTCTCATCTCCTTATTAACACCCTCCCTCCCCAAGAATATACTCTTTTTTTGCGAGTTCAAATCCCATTTAGACTTTTACAATGGAACAAAAGAAAAAAACAAAGAACATTTAACATTTCTGCAACACACAATTTGCAAGCGACATGCATGGGCTGTCCTTGAAAAGGATAACACAGCCAAAATGTCGTCGAAACAAAAGAAAAACATTGATTAAGAAAGTGATAATTAATTATAAAGCAGAACAAAAAAACTCTAATAATAATTTAACAAACAAAAAAACAAAATTGAGACAAGCAAAGTCTAACAAGTAGCTAAATTTTGAAGTAAAGAAAAAATAACAGCAGGCATGCATACGGTAGGCATATTGATATATTTTGATATTGCAATAATTTCGCTTTGACATTTTTATCCATTTTATTTACAAATTGTTTACTCAAGTTTTTTTCTTCTGAAATTTCGTTTGTGAATTTGCTTTAAAGCTATTTATTCCGTTGAAATGAGTTATATCGTTAATTTGTTTATTGTGAATATTATTGAATTTATCATCTCGTATGTTACAAACGACCAATATGAATACCAAACACGACTTCACATGTACAATTCCGATTTTTGTGATAAAATAAAACAAAAATTGGGACGTTTTCCCGATAAATTTCAATATTTTTATTGATTTTTCATTCCACATTGAAAAATGGATTGAAAAAAGAAAAAAAACAGCCGAAACAATATTTACAAAATGCAGAAAAAAGCGAGAAATAAAACCATTGAAAAACACTTAAAAACCCCATTGAGACGAAATCATCAATAAAATTTGGAATTGTTCATGTATATGCCGTAAATGTATACACCGAAAAATTAAAGCTTGTTTTATTCATGCGTCAATCAATTGGCCAATGCATGCTATTTGGATGAACCGCAAATTCTTTCAATAAATTTCCGTACGCCACACACACACACACATACATCCAACATCCAATGTTTAAACGCTGACGTTTATGTAGCGTATTTATTTATGCGATGAAATCTAGGGGAATATCACGCTTAAATTATTTCAAATATTTCAAAAAAATCCAATTTATCTCTAAGAATCTGTCGTATGAAATATGGTGGATATTTGTGAATACGGCGGAATATTGTGGATTTTTGTGATTATGAATGATATTTAAATGTATTTATTCGGATTTAATGCAAAAAATCTCAAATATCTCCATAATCCACAAAAATCTGATTTATTCATTCGAAATATTCGGAAATATGTCATACAATTGATGTTTATTTCAAATATCTCAAACATCTCACAAGATTCAGGAGCGTGATATTCCCCTAGGATGAAATATGATATATTCATTGGTTCACTCGACCATTGTGACTGGAGAATGGATGACTAGAACAAATTTGATTTTCCGACATGACCGTGCGGTCTGCTGAATTGCATTCATTGCATCATAATTTTGTATGGTATTTTGTTGTAAAAAAAACCTGGTGAGATAATCGTTAATGAAATGTATGATAGTATTATTTAAATTTTTCGTCAAAAGTTTGCTTCCAACAGTTTATTTAATTTTCTCTTTGGTTCCAAAGAAATAAGTACGGTTTTGGATCGAGTTTTATTTCCTTTCTATCATTTCTAGTTCCGTGTCACGTTTCAACGATATATTTTTTGATCGGGATCATTTCATTTTTAATCTCTTACCATATCATGTATTCAGCTTAGCCGATTTTGAATTGAAAAAAAAGAAGAATTTAGCGCTCGTTGCATAGCCAGATGGAAGAAAATTTAATTCTCGCCGTGTGTTCTGTTTTTTTTTGGATTTATTTGAACAAATTGTACGGGGTGACAAAAAAAAAGTCCTAAGGCTGCATTTTCAATTATATAAAAAGCCATTCGGTAAATTAGAGTTATGGAAACATGTGACAAACGAAATGCAATTGGATTGTTCGTTCGTCCATTCGTTAGCTCCTCTACTCGATTCATATGTGTATACTCAACAGAAATGTAGTCGAATCGATTGGAAGAGACGACGACGACGACGATTGCCGAAAAATCGTTTCAATCACGGCTTTATTTCCGATTGGCTTAATAGTGTATCCGATTTGTAAATTTAGTTTTGAATTTATGCTAAAGTCTGCATATAGCGTAAAAAAATGCAATACGTAGAGAACAAGCTTCATAAGAGGTGAGAATTGGAAGAAGAAGAAAAGTAAAAAAATAAGATCAAGTAAACACACACACGTTGAATTGAATTTGTCATCTTAAGCAAAGTAGTGAATTAATCGTAGCATCCAAGGAATGTGATTATGAGATTGAAATATTTGGAAAAAGTTATTTGGTTTTTTTTCGGTTATACTAATTTCCATTAAATTTTGTTTTTCGATGAAATTGAAAAAAAAGAGCAAAAGAAAATGGTTCCGGTATTCTTTTGAATCGACCAAAATCGAGTCAAACCAACCAATAGAAAAAGTCATTGACAATAGGAAAACCAAAATTACAATTACATATAAATATAAATTTTAGCGGATGAAAATCAGTCATTGACAGATAGCTGATAATATATGCTCAGCTATCTGTCCGTTGACTGATGAAAATGTGACGAAATCACCAAGATAAAAATGCCAAATACTTAAATCTCACCCCTCATTGAAATTGTTGCGTTGTTTTTTGTTCCATTTTTTTGATTTAATTCTTCTTATCTGCTCGAAATAATTTGCATCTGTATAAACAAATAAACAATAGCTAACCGTAGACACAATTTTCTCTAATTTTTTGTTGATTGTTTTACCACTGATTCTTTTATTGAGTTTAGCATTTAAGGCAAAATTGAATGAAACAAAATCACGAATGAAAATAAAAAAAAATTTGCAAAAAGAACAAAGAAATTACCAAGACAAAAAAAAAACCCAGAATCGATACAAAAACCAGATCGATCAGATAAGAAACAATCTTTAACAATTCTTAAGCACGCAATTTCATTGAATTTCTTTACTATTGATCTTTAAAACAAAAACAACAACAACAACAACAACAACCAAAAAAAAGTACTCATACATAAACTAACCTAAACGCTAATATATATACATAAATATATATATACATCTTACTTGCATAATACATATACATGAATACATTTATTTTATTTTTTTCTTAAAAATTATTAGCAATTAAATTTATTGAATAAAACCAAAAACAAAACTACTGAACTTTCGATTGCCATTTATTTGTTTTGTTTTTATCGTCTCTTCTTTTGTTTTTGTCCGTTTATTGCCTGGAGCCAATGTGCTCCATCAGTTAGAACTAGTGAGAAGAAACGAAAAATTGACAATAATCCGAATATCTCTTTGCCTTTTCTCTTCCTACCCGTTGGAATGGATCCTGTTCGCGATGGATGAATACGCACGCGCATTTGAACATTGCAGAAGAAGATTATGATTCTGTTATGTTTGACTGTATTGGGTCTCATAGGAGCTGCTTACATCAGTACTTACTTCACTTAAATTTGATGTACACACCGAACCATTCAAACAGCAGCACAGCAATGAACAGCAGCAACAACAACAGAACACACTTATAACCGAGAGCCATCAACGAAACAGCCCGAACACCAAATTTACTTAGGTATGACATTTTAACCACGGATACACACAGAAAATCACCCATAAAAAAAAACAACAACAGCACACATTTTCAACCATACTTGAAAGAAAGACATACATAAATGAAAAAAACTGAAAAGGTAAATACACCGATTGAAGTGGCATTGCCCGCATTGCCCGCCACTCAAAATTACACACAAACAAATATAATAGCAAATGAAAGCAAACTATCGCAAAAATTGGATATTCGTTGATGTTTTTTTTTCAATAAGTTAAGAAATGTGAAAGAAAAGGAGAAAAACATTAGACAAGAACAACACAACAAATTGAATAGTGAATATCATAAAATACAAGCCCACCACCTCCAAACAATCAAAACGACTTCCAAATCAAGAAATAGGCTACAACACTTAAAAATGATGAACAATAACAATTGTAGCAAAGAAAACAAAAGTTAAGAAAATCAACTATCACCAAAATCTGCTCGGATCCGTGTGTAAATGGAAAAAATTGTGCCCATTGAAAAAAAAAATGTTGAAGAAAGAAATACTAACAATTGCGCGTACAGAAACTACAAAAGAACAAAACAAAAAAGCAACAACAAAATATTAAAGCGAACAACCAACGATACCACGCCATGAATACATAAACTTCATTTTATTTATTTCGTTGAGGAAAATTTGGTTTCCAAACTGAAGCAATATTAGGATCAGGGGATATAAAGCATGCAAAATAGATCATTCACTTTCTATCTCTTTCTCAATCTCTCTCTCTCTCCCTCTCTCTCTCTCTCCCTCTCTCTCTCTCTCCTTCCTTTATTCAATAATGACTACAGCGTTGAATGCGAACACTAAAGTTTAAAGATTTGGCTGAAAACATTAAAGATTATCAACCAAGTTTACAATGACGTGAAATTGTGCGCGGGAAAATGATTGATATTATTTTAGCGCAATCTATCTAAATTTATACTGAACGTCAAACGCCTATACAAAAACACATCCAAAGACAGACACACACACACACACCCACATCCATGGCGAATACGGAAAATATGCCATCAATTTCATATGACGCGAGAGAAAAAAAAGCACATCTCTTTTGCGTCTTTCATCACAAATCACTGGGCGACAAAGACACCCATTTTCCTGGTGCAAAAATCAAATCGATTCTGATTTTCAGCTTTGTCACATATGATGAGATCTCATTTGTTTCCATGCTTTTGTAGCCTATGCAAATTTGATGGCATAATTTTTTCTGATTATTATTCTTCCATTCACGCCTACACGACGAAAATAACAAAAAAATACCAACTCACTCAAGAGATTCAATTCATATCATTCAAAGCCATTTGAAGTTGTGACTACGAAATACGTAGAACTGATTTGTACCATGCCTAGATTTTTAATACATTGCCGATTAGAGTACGAAGTGGGAAATGAAAAAAAAGAAAATACAAACCAAGTCCATTGTGCTCGTCTGAGGCAATTAGGACGAAGATCGAAATGAATACACCATTTCTGGCGTATTCACCAATGAATCCGATTATCATCTCGTTAGATTTGTGTTTGCATTGTGCTTTATCTTACTTGAAACAAACAGAAGAAAAAAAATTCCGTTGAAAATACAATCATTGAACGAAACAGAAAAAATTGAAGCTGCTACCAATTTCAACCTTATCCTATCGTTCTATATACAAAAAGCACGCATTATATTGAAAAAATACATTAATTTAAAGAAAAAAAAGGTGTTCAAATTTAGATAATTTAAAATTAAGGATGCCCACAGTGAATGAAGAGAGAGAATCGAATCACTGTGACCAAAGTGAGGGAAAAACTGATTTTACCATTTCAATTTCAATATTGTCGTGTGGCATGGCACTGATCAGCAGTATCATCATATTTCCGCCGCCTCACCCTTTTTCTACATTAAATGCTCCGTCTGATTTCTTCATATCAAACAAATTTAAAAAAAAAGAAGAAGAAATGTAATTTACTTTTTTGAACGAAAAAACAAAATTGCATTTAAAATACTTGCGCTAATTTAAAGAGCAACACTTCAAAAGCAAAATAGTTTGTGTGTATTTGATTTTGATTTGGTTGTTTTTTTCCTCCTCTTTTGTATTAAAAAAACTAGCTGCAAATGGAACAAATATATTCACGCAGGAAATGAATAAAAACAAGAAAAAAATAAAAAATAAATTGTAGTAGCAACAGAAATGTGTGATAGTCGATAATTATTCTGACATTAAAAAAAATGGAAATCGTGATAAATACAAACATTTCCTTTATTACAAAATATAGAGAAACATTTTCGAAGAGATTTCAAATGGTGTGAGATAATAGAGCAAACAAGCAAACAAAAAAAAATTGAGAGAAAGAATGTCATTACAACGATGAACAAAAGCTCCATCTGGCCAATTGGCCTGAGAGGAGTCTTGATTGTAGATTTGTTGCGGAAGTGCGCCTGGAAAGTGGATCAGTTATAGTTCTATAGCGGGAACGGGAGAGATGATCATTTCGAGCTGTTGAAATTCAAATGTTAAATGCAACATGCCTTCAGCATGAACTGATTACCGAATATTTCATGATATTTTACCACATTCCGCGCCCTCTATATCCGACGGAGAAATAGAACGGTTCAACTGTCTCTTTCTTTTCGGTTCATTTGCTTTCAATATATATTTCATTTAGATTGTAATTGTGCCGTAAAATCCCCATTTACAATTATTGCAATAAGTATTTCATCTTCTTGTTTATTCTTTTCTTCTCTCTCTCTCTGTTTCTCTCTTTTCGTCAGCTCCAAAGTGAAGCAAACAAAACAAAAAATAGTAGTGGAGACATTTTGAAAATCATATCTATTAATGTTGTAACAAAAAACATAAATAAACGAAAAAAAAAAACTTACAAAAACTATGCCTGAATGATGAGAATATATTTAAAAAAAAAATAATTAAATTTGTGAACTTTATTCTAATTCAAAACAAACAAAATATTACCAAATATTTCATAAATTATTCAAACATTTTTTCGCCAGGACTTAAATGCAAAACATGTTGCCCTTGAATTAAAAAAAATAAAATAAACCAAACCAAAAAAAGCGAAACAACAACATTTACATTACATTTTTAAGCTCAGTGCGGCAAAATGCATGAATAAATTATTTTAAACAATTGCAATTTTTGCTGATAAGGTTCCATTTGCTATTTGCCATTTGATGCATGTGAATTTGTTGCTGCATGGCCCCACATATGCCTGCCTGGCTTGACGACAAATTCACATGCACATACACATACAAACCTATGGCAAACCGCAACCTGACTAATACTACACCGAAAGAAATGCCATAGGGAGCTAACTGAAAATACACAAACACAGCTAAAAAAAATACTTAAAATTTCTCCATTTACGAGAAACAAAACAAGAATTAAACAACAAAAATTCTATTAACAATAACTAAACGAATCAATCTCTGTGTCTCATGAACTATGCGAAACATTACCACAAATTAAACTCACACACACACAAACGAAATCGTTATGTGACGTCAAAATAAAAAAAAATTCAAAAGATCTATTTAACATTTATATCTAATTCTATATAAGACCATGACAAATTATATTTAAATTAATAAAACCAAACAAAAAAAAACAATTTAGATGAACAGAGAACAAATAACGACAACAAGAATGAAAAAAAAAAAACAAAACAAAAAACAACACACGCAATCTTTTAGTGGAGTTTAGTGTTAGACAAAAATGACAAGAAAATAAACAAAGAGACAACTAAATAAGATTCAAAAAGAAATTCGATATAATCAATTAATAGCATTTGTAAAGTAAGAAGCACAAAATCTCTATTAGAAGAAATACTTGAAAAAATTTAACTTAGAATTGGTCGGTATTTTCCTTTATCGTTTAGATTCAGTGAGTTTTTTTTCCTTTTTTCATTTTGTTTCTAGTTCGATAACTTAGAAATTAATTGGTTTCAATTCGATAATTTTCATTAAATTCGTGTGTCAACATTAAATGCCGATTTATGTTTATGGTACAGATGTTTGTAAATGATTATGTTTGTGGCTATAAATTGATGCAATCATGTACAAAAGCCTTCGAAAAGTCTTAATTGTACTTGTCTTTCTTTATTCGGTGGTCAATTTGAATGAGTATTTTTCGTTTGTTATTTTTTTTCTCTTCTTTGTTAGCATTAGAGCACTTTAGAGATATTGCGTTAGTTATGTTTAAGCAGCGCTGACTTTGTTCCACAGTTTTATATTTTATACAATTGTTCATGTTCCAAAAAAGACAACAACAACAACAAATGATAACAACAAGAGAAAAAAAAAACAACGTAGGATTGTACGTCGTGCAATTTTCATTGAAAATATTAATTTTAATGTTTTAGAAATTAGCGTAGCATAATAATATTGCAAATGAAGATTCGTGATTAATTTTTTTACTTTAAATTACTTAATAGTTTCACACAATAAAAACAACAACAACAAAAAATAAAGAAAATGAAGAACGATAACATTGAAGCAAAACAAA